CAAAAAAAAAAAAAAAAAAAAAGAAAAAGAAAAAGAAAAAAGAAAAAAGAAAAAAGGGAAAGTGAAAAGACAGAAAAAGTTGGTCAAAACAAGTGGTTGCAAGTGCTTTAAAGCAAATAGGAAATCTTAATACAAGTTTATTTCTTTGTTTTACTTTCTATTCTATTCAGATTAGTTTCAGTGGTGTTTTGTTATGAAAGATTATGATTTGAATAGAGATTTCCTTCCAAGGCCAGTACTTGAGTTCCATTGCATTAATGAATCCAACTGCCACTCGAATTTTTGATATTCCTTTTTCTTTCTCAAAACGAATGGTTCCAAAAGAAATTGACTCCTCAGAGGGGTAGGAGAACTAAGCTAAGTAAGAAAGTCTTTCTAGCGGGGGCGTGTCTAACTACCTCATAGATAGCATACACAAGACACTGAATTAGCCTTAGTTGAACAAGAAGTATTCGAGTGTCTTAAAATCGTAATGTTGCTAAATTTTCCCTATTGGTTTGAACTCTAGAAGACTAGTAGGTTTTTTGATTAAATTAATTTGTCTCTAAAAATCGGTACTGAAAAATGTTTCTAGGGTACTATAAGCTTCAGTTTTAAATACAGACTCCTGTTACCATTTTTTGAGTTTTAGGGATGAAAGCTCTAGTCTAAAACTCTAGAAGGATTTGGGTGGTCTTCTTTGAGTAGCAATATAAAACCTCATGTAGTCCATGGTTTCACACTGTATGGAGAGCGGTGCTAGATGGAAAATATTCGGCTTTTGAGAATGATATCAAGAGCTCTTGAAGGACCAATAGAATTAAGCTTGAAGATGTCTTCAATTTTCTTCTATTCAAACTAGAGATGGCAAGAAAGACATTCTTTTGACTGAAGTGATGATTGAAGTGACAATGGAAGATTCAAAGGTTGCTTTCCTAACTTTATACCATCTCCATGCAGATGAATATGAATGTGGGAGATAGGCAAGAGAATTGGTGGCGTACAATGCTCAGAAGGCCTTACCGGGATAGGATTTGAAAGAGTGGGACTCCCTTATGAATATTTTAAAATACAGCGATTCTCTATGAACTTAGTGATCAAGGAGATTCAGTACGGACCCAACTTTCATCCCAGTTAGACGGAGGATTGATGAGAGTGGACCTGTTCGCAGTCAAATTTCTTTTTGCCACTTTTATGGAGGGGGAGACTGCTCTTCCTCAATTTTGTGAATCCCTCTTGAAAGTAGAATTTGCCTAAGAAATGCAAGGTTTCCTTTGTTCTCTAGTCTAGCGGTCTCAACATGAGTGACGAGGTTCAGAAACGTAACCCCTTCTCTGCGCAACCCCAATTGGTGTTTCCAATGTTGAAGATTTCAGGAGGATATCAATCATTTCTTGTATTTGCCCAACCGTAGTTCAAGTTGTTGGAGGATATGGGTTGTGGGTCCCCTTTTTTCTTTTTCAACTTTGTGGTCTTTTGTGCATCATTTTTTTTTATGAAATTTGTTTCTTATAAAATAAAACATATTGAACTCTAATTTATTTTTTTGGGTATAAGGTTGAACTTTTAATATTATCCTTTAGCTTCTAATCTATATTAAACGAATATTTTCCTTGTTTCTTATGTATCAGGTAACTTCGCTCAATCTCCAAATTGTTAGAGCACTAGCAAGAGGTACTTCTTTGTCAATGCTGCTCTCCTTATTTAATATTTCTGTGTATGTCTCTCTCTATGTGCATACAAGTTGATCAACTACTTGAGGAATGATTTGAAAAAATATATATTTACTTGCTAAGAGATTTGAAAAATATTTAAAAAACAAAAGGTGGG